TTAAAGTTGACTTTTAAAAAGAAATATTAAATTCTTTCGTTGCTGAAAATAGGCAAATCTTGACTAAAACTAATTAAATAATCTAACTAATACTTTTAACTAAAGTTATTAACTTTTCACTGCGTTTTTGTTAACTCGCTTTCGTGCCTGAGAGGAGGGAATCTTGCTGTCTAAATTTCTACTTGTTTCTGACTAGCCAGAGCGCTTTCATCTCCAGTGGTTCTCAGTGTCTAATGACGCAACCTGTTTCAGGCATTTTCTAACCACTATAAGCAGAATTTGTCAATCCGAATTTCGATCATTTTTAAACTAGCTAGAGTTCTCAATCCCCACTAAAGCCAAAAACATGCCGTGTCTAGTGATATAAATTTCAATCGTTTCCTGACAAAATTTATGGACAAGGGAATTCATCGAAAATCAAGATTTTGAACTAGCTTGGCGCTCTCAAATTTTAACTGGAGTTTTATTTCGGACGATGAAACAAATTTCAATAATTTTATGGTGGTCCCTAGACGCAAGATTTATATCGCCATTTAGTATCAAAATTAAATTCTCCCTCAATCGAAATTTCGCTAACATTCGAACTATTTTATTTCATAACCGTCGTTGAACAGCAATCCCAAATTTGGATTTACGACTACCGATGTTCAACTCAGTAGTCTTGCAATTTTGAACCCAATCCAGAAGACAAGGGAACTCCTGGATCAAGTATTGGGAGAAATTTTGCCTTCGTAGAGGACGTTTTGATGCAACTAAATCGCATTTGCGTTACATGGAGAGAAAAACCTCGAAAACCTTCCTTGGTTAGCCTGCCGGCAAGAGAACTCTAACCCATGATCCGTCTACCACTGAGGGTATTTTACGTCAGCACTGTGGTCAGTGCGAGCAAGGGCGGAGTTCGTATCGACCAGCCATCGCTGAGATTCGAACCCTGTTCATCTCATTGGAAGGCGATTTCTTTTGCAGTGAGCCACCAAGGCTCGAACTAGTTTCAGGGCCCCCCTTTCAACTGGAGCTCTGTCTGATGCGAATGCAAGTTATAATTCTTTTCTAAAAGGGGGTAGTAAAATTATCAGCATAAAATTATCAAAGCCAGGCGCCTTAAATTTTTTTTTATGTCCGACAAAAAAGAAACCTTCCCTTTTAGTAGTTCCTAAAGTTTTTATTTTAGTTTCTTATTACTTTTTGAAATGTTTTACAGCTAAGGGATTGCTAAATGCTAAACAACTACTGAAAAAAAGGGTATAGCAATGTTTGCATATATAATACTTAATACCCTTTGGGAAAAAAATCATGCAAAGTGCAAAAAAAATTAAATTTAAAAAAAAAAATTAAATTTTTAAAAAAATAATGAAAGAAAAAGAAATCCAATATAATCCATATGGTTCTTATTTTCTTATTTTTGCTTACATAGATCTTGCACTCTGGTTAACGTGGTCCGAGAGCAGTTTAAGAATTAACCAGCTATAAACGCATGGTTAATACAACCGACATCAGAAGAAGTTGTATTTCTGAATACTCCTGGATCAAGAATCTTATGATTTTTCATTTAATTTTATTTACCTATTTTTTTTTAAAAAAAATTGAAAGGCTACGCAACTGAAAAATAAAATCATTTGTCTCTTTTTTATGTTTGTAAAATAAAATTAAGTTGTAAATGCATGTCATTATAATCAGCGAATACAACAGCAAATTCAACATAAAGAATAATAAATTTATATAAAATTTAAACTTCATCACACGATCAACCTTATGATAACTTAGGTGATATATAGTAGCAATACCAATTATGTTATTCGATTTAAAAAAAAAGAGTAAAAAAATTAATAAATAAATATTGAGTGTGGAGAAATGTTATTATTTTTGTAGTCTACTCTTTACTGGACAAAGGTGAATAGCCCAGAATATAAAATGTCCTGAAGGTCAGTAACTTGGGTGCGAATTACTCATAAACCAAAGTAATAATGACGGCTCGTATAAAGATTTGTCTCCAAATGAATTATTTGCAGCAAAATTTGTATTTGGTTCTTTTGTCTTCTGAGTTATGTCTACTATTATGAATTATACAGCTTTATAAGTACTGTGAAAATTGTTTTATGCTCTTCAAACACGATACACTTCATCATTAAATGCTTTTTTTTTAATCGACATTGTTCGATTTTTAAAAAACAAAATCGAGTAACAAAATTGGTTTTGATAGCTCGTGTTTTATTTTGAAGTTCTAAAAAAAATAGTTCATCAGCAAACAAAAAATACATTACCAACACAAGTTTCCAAATTAAGATTTTAATTTTCCTTTAAAATATTTTATTCTATGCAAGAGAAAAATCATGAGTTTCATGGAGGAGTCACAAGACAGCTTTTTGTTTCATAAAAGCTATGTTAACTCAAATATATGACAATATATATGCATTGATTTTATAATTCTATGAATATAAGCCACATATTATCAATACAAGACAACAGATATTTTTAAAATTTTTCGTTAAACAAATAGATATATTGTATTGCTTTAAACTCTGAATTATTATTAAAAATATCTATAGTTATGGTCTATTGGTCTATAGTTATGTTTTATAATTTCATTTTATAACCGTCGTTAAATGGCCGACCCAATTTTTGAATTTACCACTACTAATGTTTAACTCCGTAGCCTTGTAATTTTGAACCAATCCAGAAGACAAGCAAACTCCAGGATCAGTACCCCCAGACGTATGATTTGTTATAGGAACATGGAGGACTTTGTGACTCGACAGATTAACCATGCATGGGTCACCATTTACCACATGGAGAATCTTCGGCCGGCGGGGATCGAACCCACGAACTCTTGGACATGGTAGTTATGCCCTACCAACCAGGCAATCCCGGCCCTTTGTATAGTTATAGTCTAGAATCTATTAAAATTAAAAATGTTACACTAACAGTCTATAGTTTGTATCGCAAAAAGTTTTTTTCTTTTCCTTTTCCAACGACCACCTGACATTTCTAAATTAAGGTGTATAAGGTGTAAGGTAATTAAGGTGTATAAGAACAGATTTGTTGGTTACTCTTTCAGGGCACTATATTAGGTGGGTCAGCGTTGGTCGCACAGTAAGGATAGATAGTACAGCAAATGTAAGAGCATCCATGCCTTGTCCAGGATTCGAACCCAGAACCTTTCTGATGCAAGGCCATATATCGCAAATTGAAGAAAACATACGTGTGTAAAGTGCCACATTATTTTTTAATAAAAAACATAGTATCAAAAAATTTGAATAACATCGATTAGCACAAAAAAAAGTTTTATTTGTTTGCACGCTTATTATATTTTTAATATAATCATGCATGATGAACTGAATTAATAATATTATACGTTTTAACACCTTGCCACAATTTCTCCTACTGGCTTTCTTCAAAAATTAACGTTGAATGCATGAACATCTAAGACTTTTTCATTGATGGCTTATAATATATAAATGAAAAATTATTATTGAAAATTAAACTAGTAAGAGATAGAATGCATTATTATTATCTTTATTTAATTTTTTTCTTCTTTTTTTTGCATAAATGTATACTTGAATACTTACAAACTTAATTTGTCGCATACTTTTCAATAAAAAAATTTTCATGTTATCATTTAATATTATCATTAATGTTATTTGTCATCATAATGACACTTAAATGTAAATGTTAAACCATATACATCAACAAACTTGTAAAAAGAAAGAAAAAAAATGAAAAAGAAGCAAGAATGTGCAATTAGCTTTTAAGTATTTAATATATCTTACATTTAAAATTTGACATTTTTAATCTTTGGAATTTATCTTAAAAAGAATACGACAAAATTTTGGCGTATTAAATTAGAAATCGGTGTAACTATGATATCTATAACTAATATAAAACATAATAGCGACAAATTAACTGAATAAACAATATTGAATACTTAGAATCATATTTTACATTAGAGGCCAAATTTTTACTCTTATATTAAAAAAGCCCCGGCAAAATGTGTATGTATATGTTAAAATCAAAACTATCTAAATGATACGTACCAATAAATAAAACTTAATTTTTAGAAAAGTAATTATAATTAAGGAATAAAAAATACTGAAGACCTTGTATTATTCTTTACAATTTGCGTCTGATAATTTCATTTTTTAAATTAATTATATTAGAAACACTCTAGAAAATGTGTATGTAAAAAACTGAAGTTTATATTCATTAAAATTGTTCGAACATATTAACAACACACATTCCTTGTTCAAATAACAATAAAAAAAACGAATAGAGAAAAGTAAATTTGAGTAAAAACTTGGAATAAAAAGTCCCTTATTTAGACACAAATAAAAATGTACGTTTTTAGTTGAGTAAATTCAATAAGAATTATATTTCCAATTCCAACAAACCTTGTATTATCCTTTACAATTTGTGTCTGATAATTTCATTTTTTAAATAATTATATTAGAAAAACTCTAGAAAATGTGTATGCAAAAAACTGAAGTTTATATTTATTAAAATTGTTCGAATATATTAAATTAACATATTAACACACATTCCTTGTTCAAATAACAATAAAAAAAACGAATAGAAAAAGTAAATTTGAGTAAAAACTTAGAATAAAAAATCCCTTATTTAGACACAAATAAAAAAGTACGTTTTTAGTTGAGTAAATTCAATAAGAATTTTATTTCCAATTCCAACAAGTGGCGACTGCAAAATAAAATAAAAAGAAATGATCTTGTTCTGTCATTATTTTCAAGTTCAGAGAAATTGTATTTCGCCAAAGTAGCGATAAATGAATCAATCTCGCTTGGACATTCATATTTCCGCTTGAAAGCGTCTCTCCGTATCGCCGTCCCATGGATTCCGGGTCACTTTGCTGTTTCCATATATGGTAACATGAAGCATATTTGGTCTCCTATTGGCTGCAGAGTTGTGAATAATAAAGCCCGGTGTCCAATCAACGACTGATTTTTCGCCGTTGTTGGAAAGGTAGTCACAGACTCATACCATATATGGTAAAGATTGAGAACATAGCTTCGCTTAGGTACACGTGCCATAAAAGACCGGCATCACTTCTTTTAAATCGCTGTTTCTTGCTGGTTCTAGTAGTGGTGTGTTCTCTGTGTTGTTAGTTTTCTTTCGTGTAAGTTAGAAATTTGCTGAATATCTTCACTATTTGGATATTTATTTGATAATCAAGTGCGGGTGAGCTTAAACAAAAAGATATACTAATTTTATTTAAATTTATAAACAGAAAAATTTATTTGTAAATTTTCTTACTGAAATTTGACAGCTCAGAATTCAATTCTGACATTTTAGGGCGTGTGCCCCCAGTGATGACGTTGCTTCAAATTTAAAACCATTTTACTATCTCTAGAAATTTTATACAGATTTGTATTTTCTACTAATATATATATTTTATATACTTTCGTAAATTTAATTTCTTTTTTAATATTTAAATGCTTGTATAATTTATCTGGATAAAGTTAATGCTATTTAAAATTAAGTTGCGATCTGCTATGCTTTAAAAGAAATTGTTCATGTTTTAATTTCATTAAATTAAAATTGTATTACCTAGAAATAATTACTAATAAACGTAACTGTTGTTGATAAAATCTTTGAGTTAATTTTAATTTGTATGTAGGTTTCAATTTCTGTTGAATATTGATGAAGTTGCTAGATTTTAAAGATTTATTTTATTTGTTAATCTCTTTTAAGAGATGTAATTAGAGAGTTTGATTTTGTCTAAGTTTCTTTATTAAGTTAGGAGTGATTTGTGTATTATGAAATAGATATTATAATAATGATTTATAATCTTAATCTCATGAAGTGTTAAATTGTTTAATTATATTGCTGAATAATTAATTTCGTGTTGTAATGTAAAATATGTAATATAAAATTTATTTAGTCGCAATTATAATGTTAGTCTAATATAAAGGATTACATTGAAGTTAATTAATGTGCGTATTTCTTAAACATTTTTCTACTAGTTTGAATTTGATGTAATCTAGGTGTGTGGATTTAAATATAAATTTTAAAATTTTCTTGTGGTATCAAAAATATATCTATTGACAGTCGTTATTTTAAAATGTTTTTTTTTTTTTTTTTTTGCGCTTACTAATTTAATTCAGTTTGTTAAATGGTCGCTGATTATTTTAAAACAGGCTTATGTTAGATAATCGTGTCTGATTTCTCGCTGTATTTTTAAGTAATTTAAATTTATTTCTATGCACTATTAGCAGAATGTATGTTTCGAATGAAATTGTTTCTGCTATGGAAACTCTCGTTCAAATAGTTTTATTGCGTAATATTTTGCTTTGGCATGATAAATACGTAAACATTTATGAAACCTAATTTTTAAATTTTATCCGAAGATTCTATCCCCCCCCCCCCNNNNTCCCCCCCCCCCCCAAGAAACAAACTAGTTTTTTTTAAAATTAAAATATCTAACATTGTTTCTTAGTTTGAATTTCTAACTATTGATTAGTTTTCCAATATATTTTATTATGTTTACATATATAAACCTTGTTTAAAAAGCTAATCCTTAATTTTATGTCATTCCCGTACCAGAGTATTGTTCAGAATTTTGTCATTTTTTAAAGTGAGAAAGTAGCTCGCGAATTCGCAATTTGCGATCCTCCCCCTTTTTTTTTTAAGTAGAAGGTGTAAGATTCTCTGTATATATCTTTATCTTTTTAGCTATATTATCACTGGACAATTAGTATGAAAATATTTGGGTAGTGAAATTTAAATTGCATTGGCGTAATTTAAACTGAACAAATGTTGTTAAATGAGATTTATAATTATCTGATACATTAATCTTATGGACTAGTTCCCTCCCCCCACGCACAGGCTAAAGTGTGGCTTCGTTTGAAATTAACATTGTGATCCCCCCCCCCCTTTTCCTTTTTTTTTTTCTTTCCATGCCGACAGATAGTGTGCCGCGCCGTGAGACTCGCTTTTGCGTTAACGGGTTAATTCATATTTTAAATTTCCTCGCAGAAATTGAGTTAATATAATTTAATAAGAACTCTTGGTTGGAAAACTGCTTTTAACTTATAGTTTTTAATCCTTGAATTCCGTTCGGTAAATTTTAGTTCACCCTTGAATTCCGTTTGATGGGCAAATGTTAAAATTAATATCTTGGTGATTTATTTTTATAATTTATGGAAAGTAGCCTAAAATTATTCAGAAGCAGGAGTTAATTTATTGTCTATTCGTTAACTTCTTCGAATTTTATTTCTCTTGAAATTATTAAAAGTTCAATATTTTAAGGGGAACCTTAGTGTTTTGGAATTCTAAATTTCGTAAAATCTATTCAGAGTAACATCAAAAGCGTAGTCAACGGGTTTTTCATGCTCAGTGCTAAAATTCCAAAAACATGTCTCATTTGTTTAAATCAAATTAGCTAATTCGAAAAATTGCTATTAGAGCCTGTCAAATCATTACTGAGGAAGGCAGGATGATAATCAAATTAGTATGTCTGAGATTTGTTCCAACTTCATAGATCTCAGGGCAGTATTTAAAATTTCTATAATTTTGCATAGTGTTGGGTCATTAGTTTTTTATTTCGTTTTTGCGTAGTTGTAGATTTGCGACCCGCTTGCCATGCAGCCTCCCCTCTCCCTAACAGCTAGGCTAAACTCTGTATATTAAAGGGGACATAAGTTTTCTTAAAGAGTAGTTTAATTGTTTTTTGAAATGCTTAATTTTCATCTTTCTCTTACAGGCTCAAAAAACTAAACCAAAATGTGTGACGACGATGTTGCCGCTCTTGTTGTAGACAATGGATCCGGTATGTGCAAGGCCGGTTTCGCCGGTGACGATGCACCAAGGGCCGTTTTTCCATCCATTGTTGGTAGACCACGTCATCAAGGTGTGATGGTTGGCATGGGTCAGAAAGACAGTTACGTTGGAGATGAAGCCCAGAGCAAGAGAGGTATCCTCACCTTGAAGTACCCCATCGAGCACGGTATTGTTACAAATTGGGATGACATGGAAAAGATCTGGCATCATACCTTCTACAATGAACTTCGAGTTGCCCCTGAAGAACATCCCGTACTTCTCACCGAAGCTCCCCTGAATCCTAAAGCCAACAGGGAAAAGATGACACAGATCATGTTTGAGACCTTCAATACACCAGCTATGTACGTAGCCATCCAGGCTGTCCTCTCCCTGTATGCCTCTGGTAGGACCACTGGTATTGTCTTGGATTCTGGAGATGGTGTATCCCACACTGTTCCCATCTATGAAGGTTATGCTCTTCCTCACGCCATCTTGCGTCTGGATCTTGCTGGTCGGGATTTGACAGACTACTTGATGAAAATCCTCACAGAAAGAGGCTACTCATTCACCACTACTGGTAATTTTATTTTTTAATTTCAGGTCCTCTATTGCATGGGTTTAGTCTTGAGGTAATTTAATCACCCTCGATGTTTCGAAAGATAATTTCATCTTATTAAATTCGGTTCACTTTAATTTCATTTAACTATTTCTTAACACGGTTTTGTGAAGACAAGAAAATTAAAATTTTTATGTGTAATTTAAATTGTAGCAATTTCGTTTTTTATAATTAACTTTATTTAACGATAAGGAATAAAATGGGCAGGCCACGTTATCAGAATGGACGAAGACCTGTAACACTAAGTTTTCAATGCCAGACTAGTTGGCACACGAAAAAGAGGCACGCCGAATTTGAGAAGTCATAAAAACTAAAAATCAGAAAACGCTTGAAGAAAAACTTCTTGAAGGCAAAGGCCCACCCTGGGCTGTCGAGTTATTGATGATGATGAATTTCGTTATAAAACATTCAATGTTCATGAAATCGGGATTTTAAACGAAATTAAAGCTTCCTAAATCTCGAATTAGTAAAGCAAATTAATTTCCCTAGCATTGCTAATTATACAATGTCTTAATCTCTTAAGAAGTTTGGTTATTTCAAGGACCTTACTTTTGCATCTAAAATATTTTTAAACAGTCCAATACTTTTTGCATATAACCTTGTTAAAGTGCAGAAAATATTAAAAACAGAACGGAGTATGTAATAACGAAATAGCCTAGCCAGTGATTTTATGTGAATTCATGTTGCTAGTTCGATCTTATTGGGTTATCGAAGTAAACCTTAAAAATTAAAATATTAACATTACAATGCAAAAATTAAAATATTAACTGCTACTCAATACTAATGATTCTTCTTTATTACAGCTGAAAGAGAAATTGTAAGAGACATCAAAGAAAAACTATGCTATGTAGCTTTAGACTTTGAACAAGAAATGGCTACTGCTGCCTCTTCATCCTCATTAGAAAAGTCATACGAGCTTCCTGACGGTCAAGTAATCACAATTGGAAACGAACGATTCCGTTGTCCTGAGGCTCTCTTCCAGCCATCCTTCCTGGGTATGGAGTCCTGCGGTATTCACGAAACTACTTACAATTCCATCATGAAGTGCGATGTAGATATCCGTAAAGACCTCTACGCAAACACAGTATTGTCCGGCGGTACCACCATGTACCCAGGTATTGCTGACAGAATGCAGAAAGAAATCACAGCCTTGGCTCCTAGCACAATGAAGATCAAAATCATTGCTCCACCAGAAAGGAAGTACTCCGTATGGATCGGAGGTTCTATCTTGGCTTCTCTATCTACTTTCCAACAAATGTGGATCTCTAAACAAGAATATGATGAATCTGGCCCAAGCATCGTCCATCGTAAATGCTTTTAAATGACTTTAAAAATTTAATAAATAAAAAAATTTTCCAGCTGCACAGAGCACTGCTCATGTTCTCCCCCCTTTTCTCCAAAGAAATTTTAGTTGAATTCTATCAGGTAAAGACTGCTGCAACAATGAGGTATTAAGATGTACAGTTGTAGTACTGTGTTTATCGAGCAGAGTGTCCGAATCTTGGACCCTTTTTTTTTTTCCTTTTACGCTACTGATAAACATGTACGGTTTTACTTGCTGCTGTACCAGTCTTTTGTCTAGATGTATTTATAAATTGTGTTGTATACTAAGTTTAAATACAGGCGTTTGTTTATAAATTTTTGTGTCATTTATTTCTAGTATATTTTCTCAATCTTCTATAATTTTAGTTATTGAAATAACCATTGCTAATTGTTTTCAGCTATCTTCTAGGATCTACTTGAAATTGTCACAAAGGTAAGAACAGCTGCAAATTAGGGGAAGAGAAATTTTCTTTTTCAGGTTTTTCAGCATTTGCTATCAGTACAAGGTACATCTAGGACAGCATTTCGGTTTCGTTGCCACTAGTAGGCGATGGTGGTTAGCGTTAATATGGTTCATTTCACCTTTGAACTGATTTTGTCAAATTAAAAGTAGAAGTATGAACTTCGGTATCTTAATCTCAAAATTATTTCAGAATAATTTATTTCAAAATTATTTCAGAATCTCAAAAATAATTCGTTTCCAATAATGTTATTAGAGAAATGTGTCGAAATTTTAAAAAATATATTTAAATTGTCTCTAGATTTCCCAGTCTTATAAATACAAAGGTGTTTAATTAGCTATCGGCAATCTGAAGTACGATGACAGAATAATAGAGTTAGCAGAACCGATTGTATTCCTGAAAAAAAATCCGGATATTTCGCTAGCCGCGATCCGGAAAGTTCAAAAAACCTATCACATTTAAGAAAATCTTCGACAGGTATAAAAAAATTATAAATATTATAGCTAGAATTTAAACTTGGCATCTTTTTCATTTGCAATTAATTTTTCTGGTAGAATTATGTGATTTAAATTATGCTGCTGATAAATTTATTTAGAATTTCGTGTTTTAAAATGTCAATGATTTAAATTTATAAAGGTAATTTTTGGAATTTATTAATGATTTTATTCAAGAAAATTTCAGGATTTTTGAGTTTGGTTCAAAATTACCCCTGAGTTAGTGGTTAAAACAATTCAAATTTGCGATTTTTTTTACCAGTAATTTTTGAAACCCGTTGTAAGTTTGTATCCCACTAATCAATTATTCATTTAATAGGTTATTTTTATGAAATTATGTAAATGCAAAGTTGAAATAAGGACATTTTTTTTTAAGGGATATATTTCCCCCAGCAATAACACTACATCGAACAAATTGGAAAACTATATGAATTTTTAAGTTATTGCATAAGCATTTCTCATTGAACTCAAAAATTCAAAATAAATTAACCGAATTCAAGAACAAAAAGTTTTTTCTCTTATACCCTTTCTCACAATTTATGACAGTTATTTTTCAAATTTTCTAAATCAGCTTATTTAATTTAAACTTAAATTGCTAAAACTACTAGGCTTAATTTATATTACCAAAAACGTATCCTTTGGGGGAAAAAAAAAAGAATCGTACTTTTAAAATTATTTAGTTAAGGCATTCGATTACAAAATTGGAGAAATTCGAAGAATCAATTTTTTTTTTCCAGAGGTGTTGCAACCTTTTCTAGGTAAAAATCTCATTTTAAAATAAATTTATAAAATATGACTATCATTACAATTAGAAAAATCGATACATTTTATATACTATCCAAGAATGATATGGTATGATATATGTTTTATTCAAGATGCATACTCTAAATTATGAATCTCGTTGGAGACTTAACATTTTTTGAAATAAGGTAAGAACATCAAATTCTAATTATATTCACATATATAGCATAATTCACTGAATCAAACTGAAAAGTTCTTGTTCATTATAGTAATTGATAATTTATCAAACTAATGTTTTACAAAACGGAGTACGCTGATCACGTATTAATTAATGATTAAACAAACAAAAAAGTAACTAATATTTTTCAATTTTAATAAAATATTGAGTTTCTCTTCCGACACAGCGCTTAGGCCCGTGAAGTTATAAAGCCCTGCTTCGTAACCTTTTTTCTTTTCTCTTAAATAACAGATAACTATATAGAAATACGATAAGGTCACAAACCTAAGTCCTTCACGAAGGCAAACTTCGCCCAATGCTTAATCCAGGAGTTCTTGTCTTCTGGATTAGGGTTCCAATTTATAAGGCTACGGAGTTGAACATAAGTAGTTGTAGAACCTAAATTGAATAGGCTGTTCAACGACAGTTATTAAAAAAATAAGTAATGTTCTGAAAGATATTGCTTTGCAAAATTTCTTGTTTTTTTAAACATGTTATTGTATATTTTGGATTAAAGGATCGCTTAAAGAAACTAAATAGTTGCAATTTCTGAGTTTAGAAGGTTAATTTTCAACATTCACAAAAGACAGTGTAAATGAAAATGTATAATTAATATATCAAAGGGAGTATTAAGAATAGTAAGAAGCTGACTGGCAGTCGCTCCTTAGAGATGGGCCAATTAAAAAAAATAATAAATGACGAAGCGCTCCCAAATTTAAATTGAAGCATTTGTTAGTTGCAGCTCTTATTTTTAAAAATGTTTCAGAAAATTCTCGCAAAGTATGCGTATGGTCAATGTTTAAAAAAAAAAATACAAAGATCCCTTTCTTTTTAAAAAAGAAAGTGCATAAAAGAAATTTAGGAAGCAAATTACGCATTCAAAGTTTTTACATTTGAAATGAAAATTAAATTGGAGAAGTCCGCATACAAGAAAATATAAAAATTTCTTAATATTCTACTTAAACTTTTTTTAAAATAAGTTAAAACGTCAATTTTGTATTATGTAAAGCTACTCATTTGAGTTTAATCCAAAAATTAGAATATTACGAAAAAGGTTGAAGCAAAAAACAAATGAACCATCCGACCGAAAGCCATGAAATTTGGCACGCGGGTGGTTCAAAGTACGAGGAAGGTCACTGTTAACATAAGAACATTCTACGACGAACCGTTCGAGCGGGATGAGTGAAAAATGAAATGAAATTTTCTGATTGGTTAAGCGTTAACCATTGTTTTAAATTTAGCTATAGTTGATTTAATTTTCGAATATTTTAAAGACCACATCAGTGATATTTGCTAGCTTATAGCTCTAATTCATCAAAACAAAAAGGTTTATCGCCCGTATTTTAGCATTTAACTATTTTTTATTCGCTATCTCTAAATTCAATGAACAGCATTAACGTGGTAGCATAGAGTACGTCCCCAAATTTATCTGACAAACTTTATTTTGTTTATAGTATTTATTTAAAAATAAATAATTTAAAATAAACAGAAATTGAAATGAAAAAAAAATGGTTATGCATTCAAAAGCAAAATTAATGGAAAAGTGGTACTAATTCGTTTAGCAGGAATGTAAAAGTCGCCATATTATTATTAACGACAATGATGTTTATTTGATATTGATAATATCTAATAATTAAAACAAAAAATAACCTACCTCAGAAAAAGCAAAGTTAACGGAGAAAAGATACTTATTCGTTTTGGGGATATTATTATTAGCCATATTATTATTGATAGCAATGCTTAATTAATATTTGTAATATGTATTAATTGAAATTTAAAAAAAAAATAATAACCTACGTGCTAAAAAGCAGGGTTAACGAGGAAAAGATTAATGGGAAATTCGATTAGGGGCACTGCAAAAAATCACCATATGCTGATGACACTAAAATAATTTTGGTAATATGTATTACCAGTATTATGGTGCAGATTTAATAAGAAGTGTAGTTCGTTAGTGCAAATCTTATAAGTGGTGCAGTTTAACATAATAAGAATACTACAACGGGTTTTCAGTGGTTTCAGAATATATTTTTTCAGTGATTGCGAATATAGTATATTAACATTTTAATGAATTAGAATTAAAAGAACTTTTTAACTTCATTACTTTTAAACTGGACAAATTGTCATGCTACAAAATCCTTATCAAGAATCCTATTTATTTTTTAAATTTCAGCTCTAGTTTTGCTGCCATTGATAAATAATGTCATTCGAACAAAACTCAAACGTTGAAGGATCATGCAATAAGTACCAAATATACTAATATAGGTATAAAGTATTATATTGATATATGTGGTGATTATTGCACCAATACTAAGTAGTTTTCGTATCGACACTGGAATTAATGGCCTTACGGCCTTTTTAAACGGCTATGCAAATTGAGGAAATTACTTGATAGTTGTAAATTTTTACTATCATGAGTTGGCCACGAGCAATATCACCACGACAAGTGATGCTAAATGCGGTTAATATCTATTCTGATGGGATGAATTACAAAAAACCTGTTTTGCTTTATATAATAACGTAAAGCCACCGGGAAGGCAAAAATAATAATAATAATAAAAAAAGCTACGTTATTTTAGCTTTATTAATTGAAGAGCGTAGTGGAAAAACCGGTTAAATGACGCGTTCAGAAAGGCTATATTCAGGGTAAGAAGAAAAAAGTGATTATTGAGCTATTTTATTAAAGATTTATTAGATGGCGAAGCTAATAACTCTTTGTCTTATTTTATTTACCACTGCCTAATTTGAAAATAAAAATCATGCTAACATACTAAAATATAATGTAGATTAGTTTTGTTAAGATTAAAGTGAAATCAAAAACAAATTTATTACATTAAACACACCCATATTGATGTAACCGCTTTATGTGATTTTCACTGATTGATAAATATCCCTAAAAATGGCACTTGCCTGGTTCTTCGACTAAGCTCTTCAATTGCGTCGGTATTTACATTTCAGCTTTGTGCACGATTTTATAGTGTTGTTTAGCACTGAATAATTGATTTTTTATTCACCCAACTCGAAGAACTGGTATTCAGTAAGTAGAAAAATAAAAGCTGGAGTATTGAATAAGAGCAAACGAGATGAGCTCAGATCGCCAAGTAATCAGAGAAGAGCAAAGCAAGGGTTGGTGAGCAATATAATAAATTTAAAATAAAGTATAAAAGCAGTTATGATATTTACTCCTATCATATTTAAATAAAGTATATAAGCCGGAGTTTTAAAGAAGACTAGGACAAAATGAATGAGCGTAGCGATCTGAAATAAAAACTGCGGAATCAGTTCCGGAATTGCATAATTAGTTTAGGAACTACAGGATTACCGATCGACAACGAAGGGAAGAAAAAAAAATCTGAAACGTCCAAGAATAAAATACGTTTAGAAACTGATAGAAAGTACTTCCTT